TGATGTCATCTTGAATTGGCCCACACCTACTTCTGTTAAGGGTTTACAGTGTTTCCTCGGATTCGCTAACCTCTGCTGTAGATTTATTCATCGGTATAGATCTATTGCTGCACCATTAACAACACTTTTGAAGGGCAGTACCAAGCAGCTAATCTGGAACCCCCAAGCTGAGGGTTAGAGGGTGCTGAACATCCATTCCTTGTACTCACAGATCACAAGAACCTAGCTAAAAGGTCATCTAAAAGACTCAAACCTCATCAAGCACGTTGGTCACTATTTTTCACTCGATTCAAATTCATGATCACATATAAGCTTGGTACTCGTAATACTAAGGCAGATGCTTTATTCTGGGCTTTTCAAGAGGAGAATATGGTGTCTAGCACATCAGAAAATGTCTTACCATCTGAAATCATTGTAGCCCCCATCCGTTGAGAGGTAGACGAGGAGAAAGATCAGGTCCTAGAAACTGTTGAGGTCCCTGAACAGTGTCCAACCAACAAAGGATATGTACCTAGTCAATTCCATGATCTTATCATTACCTGGGCCCATTTCTTCCTTTCATCAGGACATCCTGGTGAAACCCCCACACAACAACTCATATCTAACCGGTACTGCTAAGTGCTATTCATAAGTTAATTTCGTCATGTTCCATATGTTCTCCGTGCAAGGTTCCTAAGTCCCTTCCTGCAGGAAAGCTTCTACCACTGCCTATTCCTACATGCCCCTGGTCACATATCGCAATTGACTTTGTTACTGATCTCCCCGCGTCTGATGACTATACTACAATTCTGAATGTTGTAGACCGTTTTTCCAAAGGAGTTAGATTTATTTCATTTACTGGTATACCCACTGCTTTTCAAACAGCTGAGGCTTGGTTTCAATATGTTTTTTTGGCATTCCTGAAGCCAATGTGTCAGACAGTTTGGTCAGCCTTTTTTGAAAGACAGGGTGTGACGGTCAGTTTGACGTCTGGTTACCACCCGCAATCCAATGGACCGTGTGAGAGAGTTAATCAGGAGTTTGGGCTTGTTACTTACCTTGGGCTGAAATTGCACAAAATTCTCTCTTTAGTTCTTCTACACGTTTCAGCCGCCCCTTCTGGTCGAGGTCAAGGGCTCCCCGGGTCTACGCTGTGCACAGGCTGCTGGATTCCCGGGGGACAGGAGGTGTTCTCCAGTACCTGGTCGACTGGGAGGGTTACTGACTTGAGGAAAGGAGCTGGGTTCCTGCCAGGGACGCCCTGGACCCGGAGTTGGTGGAGGAGTTTCACCAGTGCCATCCGGACCACCCAACACCACGTCCCAGAGGTCACCCCAGAGTTCGTCCAGCCAGTTCCTCCTTGGGTCGTCGGAGAGGACGTTCCGTGAGTGGATCTTCGACCCAGCGCTGTGCCAGCCCCGGGAGTGTGGCCCGAGACTCCTCCAGGAGTGCGGGTGGTCATCGTCGAGGTCGGCCTTGTTCCTCGGTCTTCTTGGACTCCTTGTGGTTACTGTCACGCTTCCTAGTTCTCAGTCGGACACTCATACCATCAAGGACTCCATTTCCCAGAATCCCTCTAAATCAAATCAAATCAAATTTATTTGTATAGCGCTTTTTACAACTGATGTTGTCACAAAGCAGCTTCACAGAAATCCGTTTAGAACAAAGTTTCAACATGAAATGTAAATCCTCCAGGTGAGCAAGCCAGGGGCGACAGTGGCAAGGAAAAACTCCCTCAGTTGAGGAAGAAACCTTGGGAGGAACCAAGGCTCACATGGGGGGACCCATCCTCCTCTGGTCAAACTACGTACAAAATTATTATTCTACTAATTTTAATAGTAATAGTAGTAATAGTTAGGAGACTTCAGTGTAGAGTGGGCAGCCAGTCCAAGGCAGGTGGCGGTGACTGGGTTGTGGGTAACTGGTCTGAAGCGGGTAGCCGGAGAGCTCTACAAACAATCATCCAGTAGTGTCTGGCCGGACAGGTGAGCAGTCGTTTTCTCGGAAGAAAGGTAGGGAAATGGAGTTAGTTTATTTCTGTATGGGTGTATGTATAGTAGTATGTAAAACATTTCCAGAGTGTGGCTAACGACTCCGGCAGATCTGACTATAACAGCTTAACTAAAAGGAGAGAACCAAAAGGGCACACAGACACGGGAGCACCCTGAAACAATCTGGCATTCCTCCGCTCCACCGTCCACAAACCTGAGTGATCGCGTGTGAGCGGCGGGACGACAGCACCAGCGTCTCAGTTTACTATAATTCCCTGCGTCCATGGACCCCTGGACCTGCTGCCTTTATCCAAGGGGAAACATTAGCTACCAAAAGCTAAACTAAACAAATGAGTTTTCAGCCTAGATTTGAATATTGCGACTGAGTCTGAGTCCCGAACATTTTCTGGAAGATCATTCCAGAGTTTGGGGGCTTTATAAGAAAAGGCTCTTCCCCCAGATGAAACCTTCTGAATTCTGGGAACTATTAAAAAGCCAGCACTCTGTGATCTGAGTAATCGTGGTGGCTCGTAAAGGGAAATAAGGTCTTGCAGGTACTCAGGAGCCCATGTAGGGCTTTATACGTCAATAAAAGAATTTTGTAATCTATACGGAATTTAACAGGCAGCCAATGAAGTGATGATAGAACTGGACTGATATGATCAAATTTTCTAGTTTTAGTGAGAACCCTGGCTGCAGCATTTTGAACTAGTTGAAGTTTACTTAAATTCCTGCTGGTGCATCCTGACAGTAATGCGTTACAGTAATCTAGCCTTGAGGTAATAAAGGCATGTACTAATGTTTCTGCATCGTGCAGCGATAAGGCATTTCTTATTCTGGCGATATTGCGAAGATGTAAAAAAGCTGTCCTGGTGATGCTGCCTATGTGTTGATCAAATGATAAATCTGGATCGAGTATTACACCAAGATTTTTTGCTGCTGAACCTGGTATAACTGGAAAGTCAGCGAGATTTAAAGTTAAATCTGATAATTTATTTCTTGCCACTTTTGGACCCAGAAGGAGAACCTCTGTTTTGTTACTGTTTAGGAGGAGGAAGTTACGCGACATCCAACCCTTCACATCTTTTACACAGTCCTCTATTTTCTTTAACCTGTATTTGTCATCAGGCTTGGCTGATATGTACAGTTGCGTATCGTCTGCGTAACAGTGAAAGTTAATGCCATGGCTACTTATAACTGTGCCTAACGGTAACATGTATAATGTAAATAATAATGGTCCTAAAATAGAGCCTTGCGGAATTCCAGATCTTACTTGTGAATAATTGGAAGATAAGTCATTTACCTTTACGAACTGATAACGTTCTGTTAAGTAAGAGTTGAACCACGATAGGGCGGTCCCTGTGATTCCAACCATGTTTTCTAACCTTTCAAGGAGAATATTGTGGTCTATCGTATCGAAAGCTGCGCTGAGGTCAAGTAGCACTAACAGGGATATGTAGCCTTGATCAGAGGCAAGAAGAAGATCATTTGTTATCTTAACTAGAGCTGTCTCAGTGCTGTGATGAGGCCTGAATCCAGATTGGAATTTCTCAAATATGTGTTTCTTATGTAGATATGAACTAAGTTGCTGGGCTACAGCTTTTTCTAAAATCTTAGATATAAATGGCAGGTTAGATATAGGCCTGTAATTAGACAATATGCTAGCATCAAGGTTTGGTTTCTTGATCAGAGGCTTAATAACTGCTAGTTTAAAAGCTCTGGGTACATGGCCCAGGCTAAGGGACGAGTTTACTATAGTTAAAAGAGGATTAATGATAACTGGTAGTACTTCTTTGAGTAATTTTGAGGGGATTGCATCAAGTGTGCAGGTTGTACAATTTGCAGAGGAGATAATCTTCTCTAGTTCTAGCTGTGGGAGTGGGTAGAAATTTTCAAGCCTTTCTTCTGCAGCTATGTTATGTTTTATATCAGCCATGTCAGATGACAGCCAAGTTGGATTTAATACTGTGGGTTGAATTTGTTGTCTAATATTTTCGATTTTATTATTAAAAAAGTCCATAAAAACTTCACTGGTGAGGGTCGCCGGAATTTGTGGTTCAGTACCTGCCTGATTTTTTGTAATTCTAGAGATCACACTAAACAGTACTCTAGGATTATTTTTATTGTTCTCGATCAGCGAGGCCAGATATGCTGAGCGAGCTTTAGTGAGAGCATTTCTATACTCTATAAGGCTGTCCTTCCAGGCCAAGTGGAACACTTCCAGCTTGGTTGATCGCCATTTCCGCTCTAGTTTCCGTACTGTTTGTTTTAAGGTACGGGTTTTATCATCGTACCACGGGGCGAGCTTTTTCTGTCTTATCCTTTTGATTTTTAGTGGCGCCACATTTTCTAAAGTAGATCGGAAGGTATTTTCTAAATAGTCGGTTAATACATCTAGCTCCATTGGGTCTGATGGAGTGGAGACTAGGGTTGTTAGTACTGGGAGGTTTTCTATGAATTTTAGGGCGGTAAATGGTTTTATTGCGCGCTTTGCAGAATAGCGAGGGGACGTACATGTATTATGGCTAAGACGTAGCTCATAAGAGATTAGGTCATGGTCGGAGATTACTGAGGTTTGGGGTAGGATATTAAGCCTGTCTATGTTAAGTCCGAGTGTCAGAACTAGATCTAAAGTGTGACTACAGTAGTGTGTAGGCCCTGTTACATTTTGGGTGATACCAACAGAGTCTAGGATTGAAGTAAACGCCTTTTTTTAGTGGGTCATCTGCCTTCTCAAAATGGACATTAAAATCTCCTACAATCATTACTTTATCATTGCACACAGCTAGGTTTGCAGCGAAATCACTAAATTCTTTTAGAAATTCTGAGTAGGGTCCTGGTGGTCTGTAAATGTTAAATAATGAAAATGCCTTCTTTTTTGTGTCCGGATTAGTAACGTTGATGGAGAGAACCTTAAAAGAAGTGAAGATGTCACATTGTTTCTGACTGATATCTGGGGTATTCTGGTAGATTACACATAATCCACCTCCTTTGCCTGATAATTGTGGGCTGTGTACATAATTATAGCCCATGGGGGTGGCTTCATTTAGTGCTGAATAATCATCCTGTCTAACCCATGTTTCAGTAAGACAAAAAACGTCAAATTTATGATCACTTATAAATTCATTTATGATTACTGCTTTTGAGTTTAGTGATCTTATATTGAGTAACCCAAATTTTAGAGTTGAGGTGTTGCTGCTATCATCTGAATATGATTTAATATTGATCAGGTTGTCGAAACGGGCTGATTGAGTTATTCTACATTTAGATTTAGATTTAATTCGGGGCAGAGACACAGTCTCAATACAGTGGAACCTAGGTGACGCAACTGGTCTGACGCAACTGGTGCTAATAATCGTCTTATTCTCAGTGCTAACACTAGCATTATGAGCTGTAGCGTTTCTATCTTTGCCGCTACTTACGTGGCCTTCGCTGTGTAGTCAGCGGATGGCCCTCTCGATGTTCCGTGAGAGAACAACAGATCCTACCTGACTAGGGTGGAGGCCGTCCCTCCGGAAGAGCGCCGGCTGTTCCCAAAACGAGGCCCAGTTGTCCACGTAGGTCAAGCCATTGAGGGCGCACCATCCGCGGAGCCAGGACTGCAGCGCGAAGAGCCTGCTGAACCGCTCGGATCCCCTCCTGTAGGTGGGTAGCGGTCCGGAGATGACGATCCTGGCGTCCGTCTTCTTCCTGGCGGTGTCCAGCAGCGTCTGGTAGTGCTCCTTCAGGACCTCGCTACGACGGTCGAGGATGTCGTTGGTCCCGACATGGATCACCACGGTCCCGAAGACGTTTCGTCTGAGAGCCGAGGGGAGGCGCTTGGCTATATCTAAGACACGAGCACCTGGAAAACAGGAGACAGTGGCATGGGTGTTTCTAACCTTTACTTGAACGTGGCAGACAATAGAACTACCAATAACATAAACGGAGTCCTGTGAAGAGCGCCGGGGCGCTGGGGCGGGCGGCGAGGCCCGGGGCGCTGGGGCGGGTGACGAGGTCCGGGGCGCTGGGGCGGGCGGCGGCGAGGAGGCCCGGGACGTAGGTGAGGGCGTATGCGGTGTACTGAGGGCGGCGAAACGGTTTCCGGAGGCGAAGATCGGCTGGGGCGGCGGTGTGGGTCTGCAGGGCCCTCTGCGGCGCTGGCGTTCCCAGGGACCATGCGGGGCTGGCGTGAGAACGGCGTCTCCCGGCGCGCGGAAAGACGACGCTGGCGCCACCACCGAGGGGGAAACTTCCCGGGCGGCTTCGAGCTTCGACTTCTGCCGAAGGAGCTCGTCCTGCTTCTTCAGTAGGGCGGTGATCTGCCGATCCAGCCGGGCCAACTCTGCGCTCAGGGTCTGGAGGGCGCGTTCCTGGGAGGACGCCATGGTGGATGGGCTGAGGGAATAACTGTGAGAGAGATAGAAAGAAAAAAGAGAGGGAGGAGACAAAAATAAGAAGGAGAGACGTGAGGGGGTTTGCGACCTGCTAACTGCAGAATTTTCAACTAATTTTCAAGTAAGGTTTGGACGCTGCTTGGTCTGAAGTTCTAAGGTGTGCTGCTCTCTGTCGCTCGCAGTGACGTGCTCTCTGTCGCTCGCAGTGACGTGCTCTCTGTCGCTCGCAGTCATTGGACTTCTTTGACCAATCACAAACCACCCAGCAGATCACACCAAAATTCACCAAAAATCACCACCACCTGTTGAACTCTGTACATATACTAGTCTGTTTGTTTCATGTCTTTGCGAAGTACTGCCATTGTTCGTCAGTGAATGCCAGGCTTTTTATTTTCTTGACTGCTGTTCCGTGTTTGACCTTGCTTTGTTTTCTCCCATTACCGATTCTCGCTCCTGTTTTGACTTTGTTGTTTCGTGTATATGTTTGCCTTCTCCTATGTATTGTGTTTGTCTATTCTGGTTATTAACCTGGTCTGGCGTTAACCCTACTCATCTCCATTTGTATAAATCCCCAATTTTTATCCGTGTGTGTCTGATTCACAAACCCAGCAATACAGGTCCACATATGCCAAAAAAAAAAACATTTCTTGTGTTTACCAATAAATATATTATACCAATAAATTTAAAGATTTGTCTCACACAGGCCCAGCGCTACTTTTAAGCTTTTAATTCAAGTCCTGAATTTAGAATTTATGTTTTAACATTGTGATGTTGGTCATCTGATGTTTTCATGTAGTTTTTCTAAAGGCCTTGTTTGTTTGCTAGTTGTAGTTCTGGTTACAGTCAGTTTGACTGACACTTGTCGTGGGGCAGGGCTGGTGGTTAATGCCAAGAAGTGTCACTTGGGAAGAACTGAATTATCCTTCCTGAGGTACATCCTAGGAGAAGGGTCTATCAGGCCACAAGTGGACAAAGTGAATGGATTGCCCCTGCCCATGACTAAATGGAGGGTATGACCTTTCTTAGGCTTAGTCAGCTGATATAGGAGATTCATCCCTAACTTCTCCAGCCAAGCCACAGCCCTGACTGACCTCACACAGAAGGATCAACCTCAAAAAGTGAAGTGCCAGGTCACTTTCGAGGACCTGAAGGATTGTCTATGCCAGGAACCAGTGCTCCTGAGCCTAAACTTTGATTTACCTTTCACAGTTCAGAGGGGTGATTCAGGAATTGGGCTTGGTGCAGTACTGTTACAAGGCACAGGAGAGGACAGATGACCTGTACAGTACATTAGCTGCAAATTGTTCCCAAGGGAACTTAAATATTTAACTGTGGAGAAAGAAGCATTAGCCATCAAATGGGGTCTGGACACACATTCTTCCATCTGCTCTGGGTCCGCCTGTAAAGGGAACGAAAGAGAGAGGAAATAAGTGATTAAGACACTGTATAGACAAATCGAATACAGTTGAGGCTACAGCATGTTACTGACGTGTAAAGAAAGTATGCAGTGGGGAAATAACTGCTTCATTGTAGTAGTATATTCCATTTATATTTTGCAGGACTGTAAGCTTGAAAAGGGCTGAGTTATCCAAGGGTAAGTCTTTTCTCCTGTTCTTGCTGTTGTACAAGTTCAGACCCTGATGTATGTGATCAGTGAGATCTGCCGATACATCTAACTTTAGTTTGTTTTTAAAAAATCCTTTTCTGTGTAAACAAGGGTTTAGCCCTTATACCCTATTGTTTGTTTGGACTAGTTGAAGTAAGAGATTTAACTAGTTAGAGGCTGACAAAATACCACATTTACTTTTTGTTTCTTAACGATGTGTTTGTTTGTATATCTGTTTTTCTTCTTGTTTTTAGGAGTAAAAAATAACCCTATTGCTTTTGCTAGGATTTTTCTTCTTCTTCTTCTTCTGCCCTAAAATGGACTGTGGAGAAGACACCGTAAGCAATCCAAAGACCAAACTTGTAGGTGTAGAACAACTACTCAGGCAACTGAAATGACCCCAGTTGGCCTGATGGTGGCACTATACAGAAACATTTTATGTTTTGGCTCATATCTCCTGAACCGTAGGGCATTCAGTCAAAAATCTTGCTTCTACATAATCCTTGCTTTATTCTACATAAATGCACCACTGCATGTATTTAGCTCCACCCCCATTTTTTCCATCATAATTAGCAAAACATGTGACATCTGCATTTTTCTAATAGTCTGAGGTTTTTCAAGATAACGCAATATTGGTCTCAAAATGGTCAGGGGAGTCTGGAGTTTAAGAATTACCATAATAAACAGTATGGCTGTCACGTGCCAATTAAGCCTCTCTGGGTTTGGCTTAATTCACATAAATGGCTATAGATCAAGATTACTTTGGCCAATTCTCATCAAACGTATCAGTCCTGTGCCCCACATGGCCAATAAGCTTTCAACAGGCATTTGGAGGGCTTAGCATTGGCCAATCATCACAAAAATTATATAATGTGTCCACATAGGCAATCTCTAATAGTCTATAAAGTTTGACCTCAATTGGCCATGCGGTGGCGCTATAGAGCATAAACAATAATAAGTCCTTTAAATTTTATCATAGATCAAACTAAATCAATTCATATCATTGCTTACACTGAGAATGACATTTTATCAGATAGAAGTCTTGTAAAATTCTGTAAAATTTTTCTTTGATTAATCAATGTTTGAAAATTGAGCTTTTTGAACTAGTCTGTGGATTTTAAGACAATTGTTTCAATGTTGGTCTTAAAACAATCTGTGGAGTCTGTAGGTAAATAATTATCAAAAAAACCTTGACTTTATTGCAAAGAATAGCCATGAGACACCAATGAATCTGTCTGGCCTGGCCTTTTCTGACTTAGGGGGCTATAGATTCTTTAGTTTTTAAGTGACTGTGATAAATCTTGGTAAACATGTGCAATACTATTATTTGAGGAAACATGGAAAGTTTCATTTAAATTGATTGTCATTAAATTGACTGCCCAACGAGCGCTACCCCAGCGCTCATTGGGCAGAAGGCAGAAAACACCCTGGACAGGTTGCCAGTCTATCACAGGGCAGACACACATGCTCACACCAAGGGTGGATTTTTTATATCTCCAATTGAAAACCCATACAGACATGGGGATAACATGCAAACCCAGGACCCTTGTCACCAAGAAGGTCATACTAGAGGACAGAGCAAAGAGAGAGTATAACACACATAATACGTTTGGGCTATGAATAAGAACTCAAACTCCCAGATCTCCTCAGATCACACAACACAAACAAAGCTAAACTTAGTGGACAAATTAACCAAAGGCTCAACTAAACAGGTAAGTTTTTAGCCTAGACTTAAAGATGGAGGCTGTGTCTGAGTCCCGAACACAGACTGGTAGGCTATTCCAAAGCTGGGGGGCTTTGTATGAAAAGGCTCCTCCCCCTGACGTAACTTTATTTATTCTGGGTACTAATAATGAGCAGCACCTTGTGATTTAGTGGGCGTGTCGGTTGATAATAGGAAATAAGGTCACTGAGGTACTGAGGATCAAGGCCATTCAAAGCTTTATATGTCAGTAGAAGAATTTTGTACTCAATGCGGAATTTAACTGGCAACCAATGTAAGGTACACAAAATTAAAAGCTAATGTGGTCAAATTTCCTGGTTTTGCTGAGAACTCTGGCTGCAGCATTCTGGACTAACTGAAGCTTGTTAAGGTTTTGGCTGGAACAACCAGAAAGCAGAGCATTACAGTAATCTAACCTGGACGTGATGAAGGCGTGAACTAACATTTCTGCATCCTGTGGCGACAGTGCATTTCTTAATTTAGCGATGTTACGCAGGTGGAGGAAAGCTATTCTGGTAATATTGGTAATATGCTCATCGAAGGCCAGACTGGGATCAATCGTGACACCAAGGCTTTTTACAGTTGTGTCTGGTGCAATTGAGAAACTATCAAGATTAAGAGTAAACGTAGGCAGATTATCCCTAGCAGGTTTGGAACAAGAAGAAGAACTTCTGTTTTGTCCGAATTTAGTAAGAGGAAGTTACTTGACATCCAGTCTTTAATATCCTATTAAGTTCAATTTTGTCCTCTGGTTTAGCTGAAATATATACAATTGTTTATCATCGGCATAGCAGTGGAAACTGATACCATGTTTTCTAATGATGGTACCTAGTGGTAGCATATATAAGGTAAATAACATGGGTCCTAAGACAGAGCCCTGTGGAACACCATACTTTACTCTTGTGAGAGCTGATGGTTCACCATTTACATTAACAAACTCAAAGCGATCACTAAGGTAAGATTTGAACCACGGAAGAGCTTTACCTGTCACTCCTACTAGTTTCTCAAGCCTGTCTAATAGAATGGAATGGTCTATTGTGTCAAAAGCTGCACTAAGATCGAGTAAAACCTGTAAGGATATGTTTCCTTTGTCAGCGGATAATAATAGATCATTTATAATTTTCACTAATGCTGTTTCGGTACTATGGTGAGGCCTAAAGCCAGACTGAAATTTTTCATGTGTGTTACTCCTATGCAGATGGAAACATAATTGTTTTGCCACGGCTTTCTCTAAAATTTAAAATTTACAGATACAGTAACTTCACCATACTTAGTATCTTCACTCTTATGAATGGAGGTAATGATGCCTGATGAAAAACATAACACTGGTGTGAGTAGAACCAGATTACAGTGATTTACCTGTTTTAGATATTTTTGGGCCACTTCAAGGAAATTTATGGATTATTCTACTAATGTTACATATTTATCTTTGGAAGGGCATGTGGAGTTGGAGAAATATAGATACATTTACTTTGTAATTACTCTCACAGTTTACATACTGATCATTTGTTGTAATGTTGTTGTCATTTCTGTTATTTACACAAACAAACGTCTTTTCATTGCTGCTTTACTTTGCTGTCTTTGGAATGACTGGCCTTTACCCAACAGTACTGAGTGATTTTTTGTCTGAAAGACAAGTTATCTCTCATGAAGCCTGACTGTTTCAGGCCTTTTGCCTCTACAC